AATCCTAAAATTTGATATTAGGGTCACTGTTGGTATCTGAGGTTGAGATATGAGATTGTTTGGAAAATGCTTACTACAATTGTTCAAAAAGTATCAAATTTGGTATTGGGTGAAGATATGAAGCTGGAATCCCGAAATTTGATATTGTAGTCTCTGTTAGTATATGGTTTTGAAACCTTATAGTTGTTTTGCAAATACGTACTATAATTATTCGAAAAGTACTAAATGGTACTAACGTAGGATCACTGTTGGTGTCTGGGATGGAGAGATGTAGGTTGTTTTGGATATGCGTACTTATATAATACTAAATTCGGTATTGATATTGACGTCACTGTTGCTTTCTAAGGTTTACATATGGAGACGTTAATATAGTTTTAGATCGAAAAATTGGATGTGGGTCCATTGTCAATGGTTTCCTAATAACTTATTGGGTAAACTTCAAAATAAAATATTTTTAAAACTTTTTGGTGAAAAGGGTAAAAATTGTCCTATTAATTTGTCTGAAAAGGAAAAAATCTGAAAATTTAGTTCGATGTATGAAATTTTGATTAAGAAATCTTGTCAAACTGAACAAATAGAACATTTTGAGAACTAAAAAGGCCAAACACTAACTTTTTGAATGAACCTAAAATTTTAAGATTTGTTGATGTCGTCACGTATAGTACCCTGTGCAGAATTTTTTTCACCTTAAATAATGGTTCCTCCTCAAATTCTGTCTTTCATTGTCCGAGTCATATCTTCCTGTCCAATTTTCTCAATTTAAAATCTTCATTTACAGAGTGAGATTAAAAAACTGCAACCAACTTCAGACTGCTGTCATTTCCAAGCCACTCGTCCGACAGCTGTTAAAATTATTCCAGTGACAGCTCATTATGGTGATGGAATTCAAGCGTGATAGTGTGATTTCTTTATATTTGGCTGGAAAACCACAAGTGGCTATCGTTAGAGCACTCCAGCATTTGAATAAATGTGAATAAATCATTTGTGTCATGTACCATCGCTCGTTAGCGTGATAGTGGTAGCGTAGCCCGACGTCAAGGAAGTGGACGGAAGAAAACAGCAACATCAGCAGAAATGGTTCGAAAAGCAAAGAAGCGACTTGATCGAAACACGCGTCGCAGTGGCCGAAAAATGGCTCATGAGCTGAACATATCGCAATATTCCATTCGGCAAATATTAAAAAATGAGCTCGGGGTAAAGCCATTGAAATTCCAAAAAGTGCAAGAACTTACACCGCAACAGAAAGGAAATTGACTCAAAAGACAAAAAAGAGAGAAATTGACAAAAAAGAGAGTTGTTTCGCTTGACCGAAAGTGGTGAACTGCCAAATTTGACATTCTCCGATGAGTAAACATTCGTTGTCCAGCAGTTTGCCAAGTGTTTACTTGCCAAAGAACTTAGCTGAAAATCTGCACCTTGGTTGGCCACCAGAACTCAAGCTCCGGCCATGGTAATGATGTGGGCCGAAATAACAGCCGCTCGTATTAATCGACAATGGAATAAATCAACAATTAGACTAAATGTCAAATATTATCGAGTAAACATTCTGGAGGTGTATTAAAGCCTTTTGGACATTCCAACAGGACTCAGCACCATCGCCACCCAAGAATGGTTACAAAATAAAGTTCCTAGTTTCATTTCCAGCGCACAAGGTTGGCAAGCGCTTCGCCGGGAATGGGCAAAAATTCCGCAGAGCAACATTCGGGCAGCATGCGACGGTTTCATTGGCCGTTTGATGGCCATAATTCGTGCCAAACTTGACCAATTCGAACAAATCTGAACTTATTCTAAAATTTGATGCCATTTCCAACATGTTTTGCTTTCAGTCAATAAAATTAAAAAATAAATAAATAAAATTAACGGCGTTTGACTTTGTTGTAGTTTTTTTTTATCTCAATCTGTATATCATATAGCATATTTACCAATATTAAGAATTTGTAAGTTTCATTCAATGTTTTTTTTGAGCCGTGTAGATGCATATTATTTTACACAATCTCATAGTTTGTAATCTTTAAACTAAACTTTTTAATATTATTAAATAATAGTGATATTAAATAATAGTAATTTGAATATACACATTTTTTAATTACAAAATCAAGCACAATTATTTGCATTAACTGCGATGACGATCTTTAACTTTTGCCCAGGCTACAGTATTAGCAACAACAACAAAAGCAAATCATTTAAATATTCAAAGCATCTACTCTCATTTTCATTTATTAAAAAAAAACAAAAAACTGCTCCGTAACCAACCAGAAATGGCACATTAAATAAAAAAATAATGATAATTGTGGTTAAAATGCCAGGCCACAACCACCAGACAGGGGAGAAACACCAGAAATACCCCGGAATGGCCGACATGAATGACTGGGAGAAATGGCAGAAATTAAATTAAATATGCAAACTTTCGATTTTGTTTCGCCACAATTTTCTTCGTTTGGTTGATATCATAAATATTTCTGGTATTTTGTTATAATTTGTTATAGTTGGTGTTTTTTTTCTTATCACACATGAATGTACGCATAATTTTGATGGTGATTTGAATAATGACATAACCGTTTGTGTTTAACAAGGAGGGCGGGTTGAAAAAATATAGTAACAAAATAATAAAAAAAATCAGCTATAGAGGGTGTGTTTTCCAAAAAAAATAATAATCAAAACAATTATTTATACCCTACAACACTATGTGTTGGGGGTATTATAAGTTTGATTGGGCCAAAAATTATGTAACACCTCGAAATATTGATTTCTCACATAGGAAAGTATATATGAATCTTCCTATCTCGCCGAGATGAGTCGATCTAGCTATGTATGTCCGTCCGTCCGTCTGTCCGTCTGTCCGTCTGTCCATGTTAATTTGTAATCACTCTACAGGTCGCAATTATGGCCCGATCTTCACGAAATTTAGAATGGAGGTGGCGCTAGGGTGGGAATAGAACCATATTTCTTTTGGAGATGATCGCCAAATGTTTAGGGGTTGAAATGGACCAAATACTGAAAAAATGTCGGATTTTGCAGTAGGCATACAGGTCGCAATTATAGACCAATCGACGCGGAATTTCGCATGTAGCTAGAGTTTTGGGCGGGGAAGAAGCCTACCAATTTGGGTGGTCATCGGATAATATTTAGCGGGTAAAATAGACCATATCTTTTGTGTTGAAAAAAATCAAAATTTTTAATTAAACCGTGAATATTTTAAATCCCGGCGAAATCACAAAGCCATCACAAGGTTACTTCTGACCTTTACATTGATGTTATTATCCAACAAATCGGATATATAGCAAAATATGTGCGATATATATGTTTATCAAAGAAGATATGCTTGGAAAATCTCTTATATGTCGAGAACCGCTGAACTGATTTCGACAGTTCTCATTAATTCAGGAAAGAAACAACGTCTAAAAAATCGCATAAAAATATCTCACTAAAGATGAAAATATTGATTTTGTAAAATTTTCTCATATTTTTTTTCAATTTTGTCACATTTTTGGCATATTTTCATTTTGAATTAAACATTTGGTAATATTTCTACAGCTAACAAAACTAAGTAGTTAGGATATAAGGATATCATATACAGATCGCATTTATGGTCCGATCCTTACGAAATTTTGAATGGGGATAAGATGAGGGTCAGAATAGAAGCCTACTCTTTTTGGAGATGATCACCATATATTTAGGGGTTGAAATGGACCAAAAAGTGCAATATTGTCAGCAGGTCGTAATTATGGCCCGACCCTCACGCACATTTGAATGGGGGTTACCGGACTTTGCAAACCCAAGCAGTTTTGGATGGCCATCCAAAAATATTCAATGTGTGAAATAGTTTGCCAACTTTTGTAGACAAAATACGAAAATGTCCATTCCAGTGATTTTTTGGAGAATTCACAAATACAGGAAAGACCCACTTCTGACTATTTCGTTAACGCTGATTTCGTTGAAGAATCTAGTCAAATGTCTTTATCTCATATAGATGCGTTTCAATCAAAAACCAATAATAAATGTTAATCTTTTGCCACTTCTGAGAGATTATAGGTCTTTGGGAAATATTAGTTCCAGCTCTAAGAAGACCATTTACGAGCAACATCTTCAAATAAATTGGAAATGAGCAAATTAGTAAAGGTGGTTTTATTCGAAAATTAGAGAACGAAACCTGAATTCTTTCGAGTATCTCGCCTATATAAACTGTATCGTTGATTATAGTGTTGTAGGGTATTCAACTGTCGGCCCCGCTCGACTGTAGCCTTTGCTTACTTGTTTTATATATTTTTTTATATATTTTATTTTTTTTGAAAATCTTGATCATTTGTGTGGGAGGTACCAGAAGGAGTGAACCGATATATTCCATCTTAACACCAGACCTTGGGTTAATATAAATATTGAGATGTGTGAAATTTGAAGACAATCGGACTCTTATATCACATTTTATGAGAGTTGTAATTATTCAAAATTTTTACCATTTGTGGGGGAGGTACTTGATGGAGTGGACCGATATTGTCCATTTTCACACTTGACCTAACACTGACGCAAATATTAAGATTTCCAAAGTTGGGGCAAAATCGGTTTATCGCTTCTCTTTCTGTGCAAAAAATAAATTTTTTGAAAATTTCGACCTTTTGTGGGGGAGGTACCAGAAGGAGTGGACCGATATTGCCCATCTCCGAACTCGATCTAAGTTTGACAAAAATATTACGATGTATCAAGTTTGGACCAAATCGGATACTCCCTTCAAGAGTTATCGTGCGCACCAGCCAGCCAGACAGACGGACGGACGGACGGACGGACATCGCTAGATCGACTCCAAATGTTCTGAAACGGATTTGGTCCAAAGAGACCTAGGGTCTAAAACCGTTATTTCGACTAGGCACGTTTTGACCGTATCAAATGATATATACCCTCTGTAGCCATATGGCTGAGGGTATAAAAAGACTAAGAAATGAGCTACTTCCGCTAATTCCTACTTGCTTCTCCCTCGCCAAATTGCCGTTGATAAATCTTACCTATTCGTTGATATTTATACGATGTATTTCAAACTAAATTCGAATATTTATAAAAAATATAATAAATCTTTCCAAATTCGAACACCTTAAGTGGGCCGTAAAATCATTTCAACAAATTTCATAGAATAATAATCCCCTTTTAATGGCTGCCAGACCACTCCTTTGCCATATTGCGTTGTGGTACCCTTTAGATAACGACCGTTAAGATTGCTGAAACACAAATTTTGAAAAATTAATAAATTTCTTCCTTACGTTTTTAAAGGACATACCTTGTATGAAATTTCTTATACCACCAAGCCCCAGTATTTTATTATTGGTATCTAGTGTCTGTTCTTCACTGTTAAAAATTCCAGAGAAAATTTTTCTCCCAATTAATCTTTAGAAAAGGTTATACTTTAAGTTATACTTTATATATAACAAGTAAAGAAGCAGAAAGTTGGGCCGGCCCGAACTTTGAATATCCTCCGCCATTTGGGATGATTTAGGAAATTTTCAAAAAAATAAAAATCTATCAAAAATTTTGTTAAAATCTTAAGAAGGTTGGTATTGTGGACCTATATAGACAATTCTCTTCCAGGGGATAAGGTTCTTTCAAGGTACTCCTTGTGTGAATTTTCAAACAATTCCGTTGAAAATTTGGTTTCAATCATCAAAATACCGAATATCGGGGGATACCGTTATATGGGGGCTATACGATATCGTGGACCTATAAATACAATTTTCCGTCAGGGGTTAATTTACTCACAACGAACTCCTTGTGTAGAATTTCAGACAATTCCATCGAAAAATGTGGCTAAAATCACCAAAATACCAAATACCGGGGGGTACCGTTATATGGGGGATATAAGATACTGTGGACTTATATAAACAATTCTCTTCTAGGGTATAAAGTACTCATACGGAACTCCTTGTTTCAGACAATTCCGATGAAAATTGTGGCTAAAAGCATCAAACCACCGAATATCGGGGTGTACCGTTGTAAGGGGGATATACGATATAGTGGACCGACATAGCCCATCTTCGAAATTGACCTGCCCGCAGACAAAAGACAGATCTGTGCGAAATGTTAGCTTCCTATCTTAATTCGTTTTGACTGTAGGGAGATTTCAACAGACGGACGGACGGACAGGGCGAAATTATTATTTTGATGAGTTACAAACGAAATGACGAACTTAATATACCCTCCAATTATGCTGTCCCGACTTTTTGGCCAACAAAATATGAAGTAGAAAATATTACAATATTTGTAACCTGCTTACCGTAATATTCCGTTTCTCAGAGATCTGAAACAAAATTAAAGGTAGATTTATAATAATATTTATTTTTATATATTTCCAATGAATCAATCTTCTTAAAAACAAGTTAAAAGAAAATTATGACCCTTTGTGGGTGAGGTATCGGAAGGGGTTTGCAGATATATATCATCTTCACAACATATTTTGTGTTAGCAAAAATGTTTGTATGAGTTTGTATAAGAGAGATGGATGCTTATTACGCTTTCTTTGAGTGTTTTGTTTTTCAAAATCTGGAACCCTATGTGGGGAGAGGTACCAAAAGAAATGTTCTGATCTCTACCAACTTTATAACAGATCTTGTGTTGATGGAAAAATTGAGATGTATCAAGTCTGAATGGAATCGGATGTTCATTTCGAGTTTTATGAGCATCATGGATATCCAAATTTCGACCCTTTGTGGGCGAGGTACCGGAAGGAGTGAGTGCTAGTAAAAATAATGGGATGTGTGAAATATGAAGACAACTAGATGCTTATTTCGGATTTTATAATCGTTTTGGTTATTCACAATTTTGACCCCTTTTGGGGAGGTACCAGGAGAAATAGTCCGACCAACAATAAAATTTATTAAAAATCCACAATGATCCTCAAAAAACATATTGTTTTCAAATCCACGAAAACTGATCTGTGGGTCTTTAAAAAATATTCCTAATAAGCCACGAATATTGACCTGTAGGTCTTTGAAAAAATATTCATCATATATCCATGAGTATTGACTGAGGGTCCGTCAGAGAAGATTCTTAGAAAATTTACGAAATAAGTAGAGATAGTACTTCCCCTTAGGAACATCGAATACGAAATTTGATACATTTCCGATGAATAATGTCACTAAAATCATCAAAATACCGAATATAGGCAATACCATTATATGGTGCCTATACAAAGACGTGGACCTGAATAGCTAATTTTCTATCACAATTTGATACATTTTCGGTGAAAAGTGTGAAATGGATCATCAAAATACCGAATATTTGAAAATTTAATTATATGGGGACTATATCAAAAAATTGGGTTAAAACTGCAAATAAAGCAGCCAAAAACCTTAAATTTGTCGGTACAGTTATATGATGCTATATCAAAACGTGGACCTATATAGCCCATTTTCAATACCAAAAGTTCTGCAGAACAATTACATATCTGAGTATAATTTCATCAACCTACATCATTTCGTTCAGAAACTAAAATTCCAGAATATATATTTTTTATATGTCCGGAATTTTTGGTTTCTGAGTTCCCAAAAAATAATCCTTAAAAAACCTTTGAAGAATTAAGTCTGCAGACTTATAGGGAGGTACCGTTATATGGAGGACATACGAAGACGTGGACCTGCACAGACAATTTTCTGTCTAAGGCTGAAGTATTCAATACGAACTTCAATGTCGAAATAATGTCGCTAAAACCAGCATGGACAATATTCGGTTATAGGCTGTAGTATCCATTACGAACTTCAAAGAGCAAATTTGAAACAATTGCGACGAATAACATCGCTAAAATCATCAAAATGCCGAATATGGGGGGCTATACGAAGATGTGGACCTGCACAAACAATTTTCTGTCCAAAATACCGAAAAAAGGGAGGTACCATTATATGGGGCTATACCAAAATGTGGACCTACATCACCCATTTGCCTAAAGTCCTGCACACATAATGCCCATTTGAGTAAAATTTTTTCAACCTACTTCAATTCGTTCAGAAGCCAGAGTGATTTCCACATACGGACGGACATCGCTAAATCGGCATTTGTGGGTCTAAAATGTATATTTCGAGGTTTTACAAACGGAATGACAAACTTAAAATACCCTCCATACTATGGTGGAGGGTATAAGAAGCATAATAACAAACTAATTTCATAACAAAACCAGTAAAGAAAGTCTTAAAGTCGGGCGGGGCCGACTTTATGATACCCTACACCACTTTGCTAATTAAGTAGAGCTCCACATAACCATTAAAAGTTTTTATGGGAGAATTCAATCATACACGCTATGATTATAATTATAATTTAAAGTTCAAAGGACTAAATATGCCGAAGCATTTGTATCTTTTAAATTCGGAATTGTATTGCCCATTTGGTGCACAATTAATTTGAAATCGGATAAAGATATATATGGGAGCTATATCCAAATCTGAACCGATCTTGATAAAATTTGGGAAAGATATCTCTGAGCTGTATTTGATATATTTCCCCAAATATTGTTGTTGCGTAGTGCATATTACGGCGGTGGTGGACAAAAATAACAAATCGGATGAACAATATATATGGGAGCTATAGCTATATCTGAACCGATTTCGATCAAATTTGGCATACATATTTTCAGGCCTAATTTGGGTGTATATGCAAAATTCCATACAATTCGGGCTGATATTACACGTTTTGTGCACAATAAAAGGCAAATCGGACGAAGATATATATGGGAGATATATCTTATTTTTTACCGATTATCTCCAATTTCAATAGGGTTCGTCCTTGGGCCAAACAAAAGATCTTTGCAAAATTTCATCTGGATCTGGTAATAAATGCGACCTGTACTTTGTTTACAAAAATACATGGACAGACGGACGGACGGACATGCATAAATCGACTCAGAATGTGATTCTATGCAGATCATCAAAAGGAACTATGGGTCTATCTCGTTTCCTTCTGCCTGTTACAAACAAATGCACAAAGACATAATACCCTGACCACCTTGTGGTGTAGGGTATAAAAATCCATGACTATTGACCTGTGGGGCTTTGAAATAATATTTTTTAAGAATCCACGAACAATGATCTGTGGGTTCGAGAAAGTTGTGTTCCTTGAGAAAATATTCACTAAACATCTACGATTATTAATCCAGTGGTCCTGAAAAAATGTTCTCCTAAAATACCCAAATATTAACCAAAATGTCCTTGAAAAAAATAATTAAAAAAGTAATTAATTAAATTATTCGTGAATCAAGAAACGGTGACCTGTGAATCCTTGAAAATATATTCTATTATAATCTACGAACATTTATCTGTGTTTTTGAAAATAATTGTTTAAACCCCACATTTTTTCATACCCTCCACTATACTTAGTATGGCCGTCTCTTGTAATCACGCTAGAGTCTTTTGTCTGCATGCATGTCAAGTTCGAAGATGGCCTATATCGGTCCACGATATCGTAAAGTCCCCAGATAACGATACCCCCTATATTTGGTATTGTGATGATTTTAGTCAAAAATTTTCAGTGGTATTGTCTGAAAACCCACACAAAGAGTTCCTTCTGATTACTTTACCCCCTGAAAAACAATTTTTTATATAAGATACGATATCGTACCTTCGTGAATCCACAGCGGTACACCACCCTCCCCACCCTCCAATATTCGGTATTTTGATGATCTTAACGACATTTTCAATTGTTTCAAATTTCGTGTTTTAAGTTCCTAATGGGTACTATATAATATGACAGTTATTGCTCATACAGGTTCATGTCTTCATAAAGCCCCCATATAGCGGTACCACACGAGATTCGGTATTTTGATGATTTTAGTCACATATTTCAATGGAATAGTCTGAAAAACCACACAAAGAATTACTTCTGACTATTTTACCCCCTGAAAAAAAAATAGTTTATATAGGACACAATATCCTACCATCGGTGACCCACAACGGTACCCCCACCACGACAGTTTCTTTAACGACATTTTTACCGGAATTGTTTCAAATTTCGTATTTAAAGTTCCTAATGGCTACTACATTCTATGACAGTTACAGGTTCACGTCTTCGTATAGACCACCCCCCCCAAAAAAAAAAAATAAATAAATAACGGTATTTGATAATTACAGGGGCATACACCGGAATTGTTTCAAATTTCGTATTTTAAGAATTGTTTCAAATTTTATTTTTATAACAAAAGACTTAGAACACAAGCTTGGCAATTGATTAATAACCCAACTAG